TAACTGAACCTGCACTTCTCAACACGTGACGCTTATATTTTCATGTCGAAGCTCACATACTCGTTTATGTTTTATTGCATTATGTCTAATATTAGCATCTTATACTTTTTTAACTTCTACCTTTCACTTGTCATGCTCTCCAGCACATCTCATAGTTAATATTTGTTAACCTTATACCAATATACTTTCTTTCTACGTCTATGCTGATGATGAAGGTCAGCATAAGGTCAGCCAAATTTCAATAAATTAACTTACATTTTTGTTGTTGTCTTTCTATTTCTATTCGAATCCTTCTTACTTTAAAATAGTTTTTGTTTTTTTCGTCATAAGACGTGTCATTGTCGGCAAAAACAAGGTAACATTAATACACTGATTATTTTGAGATGTTCAATAAGTTGCTATAAAACGATGCTGAAAATAATTAATAATTAATATTTAATTATTAATATATATTTATATTATTATTATTATAAAGGTTAAACAAAAAGCGCCAAATAAGTTTGCAAATACATTCTCCTTTTAAAATGAAATCAATTTTTTTTTGGTGAAATATTTGAAATACGTTATAAAGGTCTGTTATGTGCTCTCTGTGGACCATTTCTCGAAATAATAAACAGTACAAAGTAACTATTAGTTAGCTAGGCTCATTTAATTGAAACCCCACAGCTTCAATGCCCAAACGAAATGTATTTGTTATGGTTCATAAGTCAAAGCTGTATGATATACTGGGATACTGAAAATTGTTGATAAAACCGAACTAATAATTGACTCGCAACACAGCAATATCATCGCTACCAGGATTTTGGCAATTGGACTGCAACGTCAACTAAATTTTTAAAATGTCATTTACTGATATTATTTTTGCTGCAAGTGCTTGCATTTGTGGTTGCAGATTTTAATAATGTTGCACTTTATTAAATTCAATATCCCCTATACTTTCAAACAGTAAAGGCAGGATTTCGTTTGCTTTCGTCGGACTTATCTCGGGGGAAGCAATAAAATAGAAAATTGAAATTAAAAAACTGTGCAAAATTAAAAACTATGAAATGTGTTGCAAGTTTAGCGTTTTACTTGCAATGAAAAATTCGACTACCAAAATGAAAAACCTGCATTCGTAGGAACAGTAACTCCAAGTTGCCATCTGTAAGGAAGCTCATGCCTCTCTTGGGCTCATGCATTCGTTCGTTCGATTTGCATAGATTTTTCATTTCGTATTTGCCTTTTAGCAGTGCTCAGATGAGTTATACAGTGGCACAAGTATGCTGCACTGCAGCTTTTTTTTTTTGCGTTGTACTCACATGTGATAAAATCGCAATATTAAAAGAAAATCAGTTGATTTAGCAGATGCTGCAGCAATTTACTTTACACGTTTTTCCGATGCTCTTATTTTTGCGTACATTTTTGGTGTTTGGTTAACCCACTAAACTGATGACAATTTAATGATACTTTCTTACTTTTTATATATTTTCTGCTATATGAAATTCTTTCACAGTTTTTTTATGCTTCAACTTGCGAAGTTTTAATACTGATTCGACTGCAGAAAATTCGATTACGTGACTTCTCAAAATGAATTCCAATTCAGGTGCATTACCTCTCATTATTAGATGCCATCAGTCTTCCTCTTTTCAGACAACGTGTATAAGTCAAAACAATAAGTTGGTAAGATACCCGAAAAAACTTTTCGACTTTTTAATTAAAATTACTTTTGGATTGTCATTTGATTAACTCTTTATTTATAAACACTCCTAACTAATTGAATTATAAATTATTGGAACTAGCATTATTTATGACTATCAAAGGATTTATGCTTACCAAATGAGTAGTTTTGAACAAGATATTATATTCATATTTATTTAATCTAATCATTCACATATACTCACTTCAACACTTTATAGGTCCTTTTAATAAAAATTAAATTGTAACAAAAATCATCAAAAAAGTACAGCTTTAGCAGTTCAATGCGACTAGTTATAGTCCATGTACAGGTCAGCTGAAAAATTTTGGAAGTTAAAATGAAGTATTAATATAATAATATCAATATTTTTATTCAAAATTGTCTCCCGAATAATACATATTCAATACAGTTATTCAAATGATTCTTAAATAATTTTTTAACATCTCTCCAATGATTTTCTGGACGTTCTGCATAACCATGGCTGTAATTGTTTCTTCATTCGACGAAAAACGGTTTTAGGAGAACCATTAACATTTTTAGAAGAGGAGTTCAGCGTTACTAACGAACGCTTTACTCTGACTAAAAATGTATTTTTTCTAAAAAACACATATTGCTTTATATTTCTATATTCTGTCAATGAAAATTATCATTACACCGATTCTAACACCTACAATGAGGATGTGACTCAAGTCTTATCAAATGTATCCAATATAAGGTGTTTTCGTTATTTATGCCGAATCAAGAAAAATTGGATAATATTACCACTAGAAATAAATGAAGGTAATACTGACCTAAATAATATAACAACTATCCATAAGTTTTAAATAAACACGCTTTGTTTTGCAGTAGTCATAGATTTGAATATTCACTGCAGTTCATACTGAGCACATAGAAAGATCTCTTGTAGATCGTATTTACTGGCACTCATTGAAGTGATACTAGAACACCTGTGTCCATGCATAACCAGATCAAGGCTTAAGCTTTAAAGCAATTCATTCTTTAATTCACTTAGCGACATTTCGAACAAGAGTATTGGCTAGATACTTTCATTTGTCAATATGTCTGGCTGGTTTTATTAGTAATAAATAATGGGCAATAAATGCATCCCGACCTAAAAGATCTATTGTGCGCCTAAACGCTCAATTAAAACAATTCTAGAATATTTAAAAATCTCGCCGCCGGTGGGCAATTGCATACGATATGTTCTGATGTTTCCTTCTCCTCATGACGAAGTCGACAAAAATCACTTTCCACCGCACCTATAATCTTCATGTAGTCCTGTAAAAAGTTCATTGTAGATTTTAATATCGTTTCTGCTAAGGTTAAGAATAGCGTCAACTTTGATGTGTTCAGGATCAGTGAATCTTCTTGACTGCCGTATGCCTCTTTAGGTTCTCCAGTGTTCAAGTAGATTTTGTTTTTCCTGTTCACATAATAAGTTATTTGTGAAGCTATTTGTTACCCCGCAGAAGGGCTCTGGACTAATGAAAGCAGTACATGCACCCCTGTCTGGGGTGCACAACGTTCTATTTATAATTATAAAGAATATGACATCATTAAATCTTTCTTAGCTAATTGAGTAGGATCCCCTCAACCTTCGACTTTAGCTATCTATCTACTTACATATATAATTGACTAAATAAAAGTTATATTATATACTACAAAATCTTAATCTTAATTAGGTTCAGTGAGGTTAAGATTGCCTCATCATATGCAACAGTGAAAACTGTGGTGGCTGTCTTCAAATATTTCGGACGCTCAGAAATAGTCGAATGATAAGTCAAATAAAAAAATAAACTGATTATGGATATTTTATTTAGCTGCATTTAAATATTACCTCTTAAGGACTTACGAATAAAAATTTTATGCCGCGCTTATTGACCTGGAATCGAAATTGCATTCAATAAGATATTTGCAAGATTCTATTAGAAATGGTTTGAGCTAGTCAATTTTAAAGGCAGACTACCTCTACATTCCGGAAACATAAGGAAAAAATTATTTGTGCGGATTAAAAAAGCAATAAAACTCTGTGGAAGGTAAAGACTGTGCTGTGGATGACAAATGTATTTCACTGATTAATAACCTAAAATAATTTAAAATAGTTGCATTAGCAAAGAAAAAAATTTTCTTTCTAAAGTTTAAGAATATGTTGTTAGTCTGTAAGCATGTTGCATGTTGGTGTTGGAAAAGAAAAAAATTTTGTCAATTATGGATGTGCTATCCATCATATGGAGTAATTTTGAAGACTGATAATTACTTTGAAGATGTGCAATTTGAAAGGATAAAAGAAGCTTCATTGGAGAAACTGTATCGAGTTAAGAAGAAATTTGGGTCAAAAAATAAAAACCAATGATTAGTTTAAAAGCATCTCCTTCTCATCTTAGTCGTAATATCTTCGAATAATCCTTATATCGCTATTGTTTCTTAGCTTTCTTAGCTCTGTACCGCTCGACAAAAGTGTTATTTTGTTACAAATAGCAATATGTTTTGAAACTACATTTCACACACTATATGAGGCGTTTAGTATTTTACTCTCAATAGCTTCCTTTTATTTTTTATCCAGAATGATTCAACTGTTGGCGAACTATTACGATAGTTTTTATAATATAGAACAAAGGCCTTAAATTTTTCTCTTTAATCGGAAATAATGCGTGAAATTTAAAAAAGAAAATTAATTTTATTTTTTATACAAAATGTGTCTTGTGCTTTTACTGGTGCCTTCAGTTTTCTGACTGACCTCATCAGGCTCAAAACGTAATCAGCAAAATGAAGAGGAAGAAATGAGTGGTACCTGCAGAGGAAAATCTTATGAAAAATGAATTGTTTCGCTTTCAAAAGGAGGAAAATTTAAAAAATGCGGAAAAAAATTACCACTTTGGCATGCTTTGCCGGCATAACTTTTACATTTAAATCAACAATTGAGCATTTGTCTGCCCATTTCCCCAGAGATACCCAGATCTGTAGCTGCAATACTTTTTTCAACAGTAACAAGTACTTCAGCAGTGGACTTCTTTTTAACTTTCCTCGACCTGTTACCTGATACCACGTGTTCTCCTCTGGAAAATGAAGCATACAAAACGAGGAACAAGGAAAGGAAAACGGTTGAAAGGCATGGAACCTCCTGTTCTATTTTAGTTTTAATTTTTCTTCTTAACTTTAGCAATTCCGCTTTGAACAATTTTTTACCGTTAATATAAATAAATAAGTACATTTACATACACACATACACATTCATGGTTACATACATGCTTAAGTTGGAATTTTTTGTATATATTTTATGCAGAATTTCATATAAATTTTTATAAATTTTCATTTTTGCTTGCAGTGCCTCCGAACATTGATGATGCACTCACTTCCAGTGATGTCATTGTACGTGAGGGCGATAATGTCACGCTACGTTGCAAGGCAAAAGGTAGCCCGGAGCCATCAATTAAATGGAAACGAGATGATGGCAATAAAATTGTTATAAACAAAACAATGGAGGGTAAGTTATGGCCTACAAAATAGTGCTTTTGTTTCTGTTTCTGTTTGTGTTTGTATTTGTGTTTGTGTTTGTTCAAGTACACATAAATTAATATCTACGCTTTTAGTGTGTATAAGTGTAAGCGCTATGCCATATATTTTTAATGCTCGTATGAAGCAATCATTTATTTCAAGCTTCAAAATGCATCACAGCACTTTTTTATTGTCCGAATATCTGATTTCAATGTGTTTAAAGTTTTTTTATATCGGAAAATAGTTTAATGTAGTGCGAAAGTAAATAAAAAAGCACGAAAAGCATCTGTAACCTGAGCAAAGAAAATATTGTCTTCCTACCATTCCACCATTATATGCTTCACCTAGGCGGATACGTCAAGCATATAATATTACAAAAGGAGTTCTTGATAGTTTATTTTAATATTGCACCCAACATTTTAATATTGCACCCAACATAAATGTCATTCTTGCAATTTTTTTTCAAATATTTTCAACCATATATTTTTGGTTTTCTCTAATTAAATTAGATGTATTTTGAAATTTCTTGCACCACCTTTGTGAATCACACGACCAAATCGAGTTCCTATAAATTAGTACACATATCGTCATTAATCATTCTTCATCTTGTTCCATTAACAACAACCACAATGTTAACATTGTTAAAAGCAATACTCCTTAGAACCAAAAACAGCACATAATTTTTCATTACTGTGTAAACTTGATTCACGAATAGCTTGTCAGAATCACGAAGTAACTTAAACAGAAATTAAGTTCATCGGTAAAATCGAATTATAATAAAATAATGGATCTATTGCAAGTTGCTTTTAAACTAAATCTCTTCTTCTTATTTGGCACTATAGTCCAGTGTGAACCTAGGCCTCCTTCTTTTTTAGAAAAGGTTGCATAGCGTATGTTTTTTTTTCGAATGCGAAACCCCCAACCTGGAGGACCAGATCTCCTTATTTACAAATCTGGGGATAAAATTGGTGTTTGGTAGCTAGAGAAGGTAATTCTAGTAAACCGCATCCTTGACTGCCAACTCCGAAAAGAGCAAGCAAGTTTTAGGCCTAATAGATCATGCGTTGATCACATCAACAGACTACGCTGTGTAATGAAATAAATACCCCGCTGTTTCTTGTGTTCATCGACCTCGAAAAAGCCTTCGACTCTATGAACCGAAGTGCCACATAGTCCTCGCTTGATGGCGTAGGTGTTTCTGAAAAATATCAAAAGCCTTATCAAAGTGCAGTACAGCGGAGTAAATGCTAGAGTCCTGCATTGCGGCAGCATTAGTGAGGCATTTGTGTCGCAGACCAGAGTTAAGCAAGGCTGCCTGATGTTGGCTGTTGAGGAGGCTAGGATGTGTATTAGCCCCACTTCCCCATTGAGGCACATACGTTTACCTCTTGCATTCCTTAAAACTCGAATTGCGCAACAAATCATGCAAAGATTTAAGTTGTTAGGTCAAGTAAATTCGATCTGCCTTGAAATTCACTCCTTTAGTTGTGTATGGGGTGCTACAAAGAAGCTCAAGATTACAAAAACAACCTAAGGCCATATGAATATAATAAATATATTTTTAACATGATTTTAAGCATAGAAATAAATCATTAATAGTTACGAAATTACATCTAATAAGGAAGGATTTGAAGAATTAACAAAAATTTAGTTCGTCACTTACAACATTTTGAAATTAAAGTCCCTATAAAGACCTCATTTGAACAACTGAATAACAAAACTTCGTGCACTCAACTGAAACCCTCAGATAAGACATGACCACCTCAGTACATTTACAATTTTACTGCTCCAAGGGTCTAAGTCTAACTATTATTGTCCATTACAAATAAACAAATTATGATAACCTGAATGTATACAGGCGATTCAGAATTTAATGTCATATTTTTAGCAACATCCTGTTCTCTACCAGGCCATCGACAAAGAAGAAGAGAATACAACTGAAGAATACTCAAAAATGTCATAGAGAGGCTGACTGTTTTTGATCAGAACCATCGATTCAAGTGTTTGAACCTAACCATCTACATTCACACTAAAAGATTATTTTCAGCTCTTATTCAGCTCTGAGCTCACCTAAGTGCCCTTGAAAAGATTGTATTGACTTCATTTCTGGGTCCACATCCGTGAGGGAAGTATATGTCATAATTTGGAGGTTGGATGTTTGAGGAGTTTCATTTACTTTAAACACTGCTTGCAAGTGCATAGCCACAGTTTCAGATTTTTCATCACAATATCTTTAGTTTTAAAGATCCTCTAATAAAATGAGGAGAACTGCATCTCGTGGTTTTGAGAATTTCTATTTTATATAATTTCTTAAATGGTTTTATTTCAGAGTCTGCAAATGGTAATCGCTGAAATTTGTGCATTTTATTTAAATTTATATTTATGTATAACAATTGTTTATGATTAAGTTTGTATGTTAGTCTTTAATTTAATAAACTTTTGTGATTTTCAATATAGTATAGCTGCTGGTAACCACAATAATCTGTTTTGATAAAAATCTTTAAGTCATTAATGCTATTTAGAGGAAAAACATGGACGTAACACATAATAACTCTGACTGTTTGACGTAGTTGCAAAGATTTTATGAAATATTGACACAGTGGTGAAGAAATGTAAGTACATATATTTCATTGCTGAAACCTTTACATCCACTGTTTCCCACAAATACTAGGGAAACAGAAAAGCAGTGAAAATTGAAAGAAGCAAAGCAATCGCAAGGCAAACTACAATGACATTGACAACCAAACTTAAATTTAATATTCTACCTCTTACGATCACTTTGAATAAAATTTATATATGGTATTTGTCATATATATTCTAGTGAATTATTTATCTATTATTTATAAGTAACAACGTACTACTCAATTGGAAATTGACTAGTTATGCAAAGATTATTGAGTTATAGAGGAGATATTTGAAAATAGTTGATCTGAATAAAGTTGAACTCCTTTATGAATACATATATAGTTCCGTTAGTCAGTAGTGTATTAATCACCATAAATAATTATAAACAGATATAACATATTATCAATAGATTTTATAATTTTCATTTTATCAGGGAGTTGATAAGAAAAAGTGTGAATAATTTTGTCTAAATAAAAAACTAACTACATTATAAGAAACTTGATTCTGCAGCAGTTGTGAAAAAGACGAATTCTTCATATATATGTTCTTCATATATGTTCTGACACTATCCACCGGTCACGCAATGTATTTCAAATATAGTAGATCTTTTCTTTCTGGAGAAGCTTTATAAACAGTATCGTTTGCTCTTAAACATACTCTTAGGCTTTAATAAATATTTTAAATTAAGGATAAAGCACGCAATGGACCAGTCGACCCATTGGATCGGTTGAATCGCTAAAGGCAACTTTTAGCTTTTCGGACGCTAAATTTAATATGTAAAAATGTTTATAAATCAAATTTATTTAATAAAATAACTGTCATCATAGAGATAAGCTCACAATCATATTCGACATGAAATTTATGGAATAAGTACTGCTATGAACACATCAAACACTACAAAATAGCACTACTTTTTACAATGTTAACTGTAACACATATAATGGACCAATTCCAAGAAGTTGTAATTGAGCTTATTTGGATTTAGATTTTAATATATTTAAGAAAGCATATTTCAACACTGCTTAACTGTCTGCCATCAACACCTAGAATATATAGAATTCAAATAATTTATTATCACTAATGGTTTTGTCGGACTGATTTTACTTTTGCAAAATATCTTGTTTTGCAACCTGATATAGCTTAAATATTACTTTATCTCGTGCCATGCATATGGACGTCCAATTAATGGAATCCTTTCCACGCATTTCAACACTTGAAACCTTCTCTCTACATTAAATACTGTTTCTATTGCATTAACATGGAATTAATATGGAATAGGGAACTAACTGAAGTTTTTCATTAACTATGAGAATAACGTCACCTCTCCGTGAATATAGCAATTTGTCCACAAATTTTCTATTAATTTGCTTATATTTGTTATATCGCGCAAAACTTCACTGATCATAACAGATTTCAGTATATCTGCAAATAATTTATCCACAGATTCGATTCAGATTTCGTCATTCATATTTAAAAATGTTTTATAAATATTCCTAAATGGAGTTTAAGTTTCGATTTTTTGTATGTTTCTTATATCACCTAAGCTCAGACATACGCATTCAGAATGCTTAATAAAGACTTTTGTTTACACAAAACACATTCTACATTTACTTTTATTTCTACGTCCTTACTCTATTTCTCTGTTACCCTGCTTACTGAGAGCCTACTATTACTACAATGAAATCTGGATTTCCAAGCAAGACTTATATATTATTATCATCGTAATAATGTGTGCATATATGTGAATTCCTTAATCGCTCTATTCAGTTTGTGTCAATGATTTTTGGTACAGTTATTCCAAACAACTCTCATCGGATGCTCTTCACACAGATCTTCACATTTTCATGGAAACATTATTCTCTCTTTATGACATTTCTGATTATTTTTTAGTTGTGTCCTATTCTTCTTTTCTTATGGCCTGGTAACAAATATGATGAAATTATGACGTCATGTAAGTATATATATCGATAGAACAAACTAAAGTGTAGTACGGATAGACACCACTACCACGATTACTACTTTTAGTACTTCTACTACTACCGCTACTAAATTCATCTAACAAAATTCTCGTGAAAGTGTTAACGTATGAGTATTCACGAGTACAGGGCACGAGGATTGGGGGAACACGAATTGAACAGAATGATCAAGGGATCAGAATATGAGTAGAGTAAACTTTTCAAATCAGCTCGGGCAGACGCAGACTTTGATAATGAATATAAAATTATCTTTTTCAAGAGACACAACACGATAAACTGGGGTTAATGTAAATAAACAATTTGGAGAATTGAATTTGATGTCCATGGTTCACATTGTTTATACTAAATTTAATAAAAAATGAGTATGTCTTATTTTATTTCTTTTCCC